TGGAGTGGGATAAAGAGGACCTTGGCCACAGACAGGTCGAGAAGATTCATTAGCAAGTATAATTGTATGATCAACAGGTCTAAGAGTATCAAAAAGAGAGGAATTACTAGAGACATAGGAACTAGCATCAGAGTCTAGGAGCCAAATGTCACATACCGACTCATTCGGGATGCGAGTTCTACATCAAGCACCTTGCAAGCGCATTAGTTTGTGAGCGGCAAGGCAAGCAGGGTAAATCCCTATCGCATCTCCTGGGTTGGTCCTTAGGCATAATACACGGCGGTACGCAGTACCACTTGTGAAGCTGGCTTCTTGGGAGGATGACAAGCGTGTAGTCCATGACAAGTGGTATGAAAGCCAGCCTAGGAGCACTGTGATGGGGACTGTACGTGGGAGTTACACCAAGCACCTTCATTGTGGTGCCCGCACCAAGGGTGGTGCCCGCGCGGGGCGGGTTTCACATGGGCAGGGGAACGGACAAGCATTGAGGCAGGCAAGTAGGGTAATGTCCTCTTGACGAAGGCGTCAGGGACTAGCGATGGTAGCATGCCACATACCGACTCATTCGGGGTGCGAGTTCTACACAAAGTATCTTGCAAGCGCATTAGTTTGTGAGCGGCAAGGCAAGCAGGGTAGATCCCTATTGCATTTCCTGGGTTGGTCCTTGGGCATAATGCACGGGGTATGCAGTACCACTCGTGGAGTCGGTTTCTCGGGAGGATGACAAGCGCCCAATCCGTGGCACAAGGCTGAGTGGACTTAGCCACACATGCAATATTGCCTGAACTAGCCATGATAGCAATAGAGGATGAAGGTAGACTAGGCCGGAGAGACTGGACAAGAGCAGTAAGCTCACTAATTTGAGTAATGAGTGTCTCGTGAGAATTAACTGGAGAAGCATCAGAGCTAGTGGACAACAAGGAAGATTGCGAGGATGGAACATCCATAACCTGATGGACGTGATCAGGTTTGCCATACTTCTGCCAATACTAAGGTTTAGTATGACCTTGGAAACCACAATGAGTACACTTGCGATCACCACGTGTACGAGAACTAGGCCCACTACTACCTCCACCACAGAAACCACCACGTGAGCCCTGTGAACCAGATGAACCATGAAAACCCCCGTAAGTAGACCCATGATCACCACTACTAGAAACCAATGCAGAAGATGACAAAGTAGAGGACCCATAGGTGGATTGTGCTTGTTCCAATGAAGAGTGTAACAGCCTAGAATAGGCATTTGCAGTAGAAGGTAGAGTCTTACTGGCAAGAATCTGATCCTTGAACCCTCACAACTTAGATCTAAGCTAGAGAGTAAAGAAGCCATTATAAACTCCTCCCAATGTTGCTTCTGCTTGTTCACATCAGTAGTGAAAGGCCGATTCTGCAGTAACTAATCCCACAAAGTCTGGAGACTACTATAATAATCAGGGAGAGACCGGCCAGATTGACGCATAGCAAAAATCTGCTCATATAACTCATAGACCCGAGAGACATTACTTTGATTTGAAAAAGACTCAGCAAAAGAGTCCCAAATTTCCTTAGAGGTATCACAAAATTTCACAGTAGCAGCAATATGTGGTTCCAGACTATGCCAAATCCAACCCATAACACAGGAATCCTCACCACATCAATCATCATAAGCTTTATCATCAATAGGAGGAGGGAGTTCGCTAATGAAGCGGGACTTCTTCTTTCCACGTGAGAAAATTTTAACGGCAGGGGCCCAAGCCAAATAATTGGCACCATTCAATTTTTTGGCAGTGATAGATTTAGGCATGTCATCATCCTTACCCGTAGTTATAGCCTTAGCCTCAATCTTAACCATAGTGATCAATCACACGAAATTCTCAATACAAGAGCATGAAAGGGGCAAAATTCTTGCAAACAGTCAATACCCACAACAACCAGCACTAATAATCACCAATATAGACGCAGAACTAGCTCAAAAAAAAAAAAAAAAAAATTCACAGCAAAAATAGGCAAGAGTGAGGAGAACACAGGTCTGCCAACTAAATTTAGACCCAAATTAAACCAACACACTAACTCAACAGCAGAAATCAATAAATAGAGAACAAATATCCCTTGCTAGAAGGATTTCAGCCCTTAAATAGGAACTGTCAATAGGTAGAAATGAAGAAAACAGTGTTGCTGGACCAAAATGAGACAATAATGTAACAAAACATCAACCCAACAGTAGCAAAACCACAAATTAAGAGCAAGGACCACTAAGGTAGGTATTTTCAGCTCCTAGGGTAGGGATTCCAGCAAGAAGAAACAGCAAAAAGCAGTCCCAAGAGCAGATTTGGAAAATAGTCCTAAAAAACATGAAATACTTTCAGAAATCAAAAATTCACATCAGGGATGATCAAAAAATTTCACAAAAGTCCCCGTAAATCTCATGAGGCAATTTCGAGTCTAGGGGTAAAGGACCCATCCATACAGTGCTTACGTTATGCTGACGTCATTGTACGGCTGATGACATCATCACATCTCAGTCACCTCAGATCGATCTTCTGAGTCTGTAGAAACCTTTCTGATGAAGAATAGATTGCTCTGACACCAAGTTAGAATGTAAAATGAAGGAATTTAGGGTTGGGATTTAGGAGGAGGAAGAAGAAGAAGAAGAAGAAGAAGAAGAAGAAGAAGTTGTAGAAGAAGAAGAAGAAGAAGAGAGAAATTTTATGTATGTTGAATAATCATTATGCCTCAACTTTACATCAGCAAAATATATATACAAACCCTAACATAACAATATGTATGCCTCAACTTTACGTAAATATTAACAAGAGAACAAAAATAAGTATTTTAACATATACTTTGCATGTGTCCCTCATGTATTGTGTCATGTGTCTGAGTTTGTGCTTCACTCTCCAACAAATACACAATAGCTAGTAATTGACCTCCTATTAGATGTAGATCCAACCAAATCTGCATCAATATAACCCTTGATTTTTGTGATCATGATTCCGTTTCCAGGTGCACTTTTGAGGTACCTCAAAATGCGCATAATAGCATCTCAACTCAATGACAGGTTCGAGGAGCATCCAAAAACTGACTCACTGCACTTATTGCAAAAGAGATGTCTGGTCTTGTAACAACAGTTAGCTTGCTAACCCATTGTTGATGTCGTCCTTGATATATTAACAACTCACCCTAATTAGCCATCAATTTGGTGTTAGGGTCCACAGTCTATAGGTTTAGGCCTTAACATCCCTGTTTCACGTAACAAATCAATAATATATTTTCTTTGAGATAAAGAGATTCCGTGACACGACCTAGTCACTTCAATGCCTAAAACATTTGAAAGCACTAGTCAATTAGTAAAACCACTCAATGACGTTACTCTAAAGGAAGTGTTAGGAAAATGAGATGGATTTGTTTGAGAGTGCTGCCAAATGCCTCCGCCTTTTTACTTTGGACCCCCACCTGTTTGTTTTTCTCTTAATGGCAATTATGACCTTAAGTAAAATTACTCTTAAGGACAACTTAGAATTGGACACCCACCCCTACTTAAAACACCCACTCTCACCGCTCTCACATAGACCTCGATATTGAACACCCACCCCCCGCAAAAAAACTCCTCATCTGACAATAATCGCAATCCATTTTCATTCAACCCATTCGTTTGTTGTCACTATTGTGTTCTTGACTAACTTCACCATCCATCATTGTTCATAGTGTTAGTTCTTCTTCACATATCATCATTGTTGACACTAACCTAGTTGATAAAGGAGGCGAGAGATTACGACAAGTAGCAATGGAGTATGACAACAACATTTTCGTTGAGGTTTACCATGTATTGATAAGTGTGTTTGAACAGAAATCAGGTTTTGTGTAGTCGACGTGTTCAATTTTAGATTGCCGAACAAATATGGATTGTTCGGCAACCAAGTTCCAAACAACAGTAAATAATTCGGCACTAGGACTCCAAACAAAATTTATTTGTTCAATTAGTTGTTTCTGAGTATAAGTATGTAAAAGTGTGTAAGTGTTGAAAAACAGTTCCATTTTAATCCATCTCGTACATTAAGTTTCTTCAAGACCAAACGCATTATGGTGATAATGTTCGGCAATATCATATCGGGTACACCTATAATGTTTGGCAACACCCTACCGGGTCTATGATTGTTGTTCAGAAAGAAGGTTCTGTGTTTTGCCAATGTTCAATACTGGACTACCGAACAAGATAGTATTAGCTTTAGTACATAAAATACATGGTGATGATCGAAATAAAGCCAAAAAATTGAAAATAACCTTTACATATCTTGTGAGAAGGACCACGCAACTTCAATCTCGTCGGTGGGATGATGTTGTTGGTTGGAATGTAGATGTGGTAATATATATATATATATATCTTTGGTGGGTTGGCACTGGAAAACTTTAATCTTGTTGATGTCGAGACCGTTGGTGGGTTGGGATAATGCTGTTGGTGGAGTGGGGTGAGGAGGCATTGGGTGTGCATGCCTTTGGAGTAGAGGTAATTGTAATAGGGATAATTTGGGTATTAAGTTGGGGGTTCAAAGAAATTTTAAATAATTTGAATTTTGTAGGTGGGGGTACAAAGAAATGGAGGGTCCAAAGTAAAAAGGTAGGGGCATTTAGTGGTACTCTTTGTTTAAAGGTGCAGATATATCATCGTATGCACTATGATGAGAAGTTGAAGAATTTTGTTCTATTAGTAGACTTAGTAGACTTGAATGTGAATTTGAAATTGCATTTTTTTTAGGAGTTTGTGTTTTTTTTTGTTCATATAATACTCTCTCTATTGAATGTGTTGTCTTACCTCAGACGACTCTTCTTCTTCTTCTTCTTCTTTGCTTTTTTCTAAGTAACTTCTTTCATATCATAGTTAGGAAAATAAATAAAGATGCTTACTGCAAATTATGAACTAGCTCAAGAAAGATTTAAGTGGAAGTTGATTTCTAATTATCAGATATCTGGTTTTCTCTCTCTGTCTGTCATTGTGCTAAGTTGATATTACCATACACTTTCAGAGATCAAGCTTGTGGATGTTCCAGAAATGAGCTACACCTCTGAGGATCAGCCCTACCCTCGTGGAGAAATCTGTGTCAGGGGCCCAATTGTTTTCCAAGGCTACTACAAGGATGAAGTGCAGACGTAATTGCTTTATGCATGTTGTTACTTCTTGTTATATGAATTTATGATTACCAGGTATGCCTAACTTTTAAGTAAATTGAACAGGAGAGAAGTAGTTGATGATGATGCTTGGTTGCATACAGGAGACATTGGATTGTGGTTACCTGGAGGCCGCCTTAGGATTATTGACAGGTAATATCTTACAAATCTTATATCATATTATTCAGAGGAGTTGATGTTAACACTGCATACAATTCAATAAAATTGACACTACACTTATACTGTATCTAATTATGATCTAATGTCTCTTGCTTGGATGTATAGAGATTGTTGTCTAACTTGTTTCAATAAGTCCTGCGGCTTGAGATTTTCTAGATCAATGTAAAAAATGAATGTTTACCCTTTGCTGGACTTGAAAAGACATGCATCAATGACAACTTATGATGGCAACTAGTTGTCTCTGTTGAAGCATTATTACTTTCCTTATTGAGGTAAATATTCTTGGGCTGGAAATAAAAGCGACCTCACCTATTTGGATAGAGTAGCCTTTTTACAACATTTTGTGGCATAAATTTTATGCAATTATTCTACCTACTCTGTCCTTGGTACACGTTTTTTTGAAACTAATCTGATCATTCTTTTAAGATGAATCTTCTTTCTAAAGACACTTGTACTATGCCAATAGCAATGCTTGAGGAATTCTGGATTTTAAAGCTTTTTATTGAAAAGTATTATCAATTTGTTTCAGGAAGAAGAACATTTTCAAGTTGGCACAGGGCGAGTATATAGCACCAGAGAAGATTGAGAATGTATATGCCAAGTGCAAATTTGTTTCTCAGTGTTTTATATATGGTAAGAAGATGGAGTTTAATCTGTACATAAACCTTAAAAAAACAATGCTCAATTAGTAGACATTAATGTGTGTTTGGGAAGGGAAAGATTGTGGGTATACACCTAACCTTTGGTATAGTGCACAAAATGGTTGCCCCGAGACTTGACCCATAACCTCAAGGTTATTAGGCCAAGGTTTTACTTTTAGCTGACTGTTTTTATGTGCATAGGTGATAGCTTGAACTCCTGTTTAGTTGCCGTGGTGGCAGTTGAACCAGAAGTTTTGAAGGAATGGGCTGATTCTGAAGGTATCAAGGTATTTGCCTGACTCTACTAGGTGCACGCTGAACTTCATCTATCTGTCTATCTATACTATTATAAAGTCAGCAGTCAAGTTGGTGTAGATGAATCTGGCTCACGCTGGTAACTGCTTGGAGCAGTTTCTGGCCCTATCCAACTGTTTGAATTTGAAATTGCCAATCTAATTGTTTCACTCGCACACTACGTTTGTGCCAACACCTTCTAGTTTCATTAATGTAGGCACAGAATAGAACTTGTATCTTATATCTCTTGTTGGGCATGCGCATTCACTTTTACTGTCATAAGCAGTAAGAAGCAGCACTGGAATATGTAATATAACTGAAAATAAGATGGTTCTGATTAACCTGGTATTGGCTTCTTGTTAGTTTACAAATCACAGCAATACCTCGGAGAATTTGGTGGCTTTTGATGAGTTTTTTTTTTTTTTTTCCAAGATAATACAATTGGGATGATTTCTATATTTAACAGTCCTTAAAAAATAATTCCTGTTATGTCATTTTTTGCCACGGACTATAAAATTGGATAGCATCCTAAGCATTTGGCAGTTTCTGTAAGTTTAATTGCCTAAAACTGTAGCTCTAGTATTTCACTTAAGTCTCTGCCTGCATGTGTGTGTGTTTCTACATGCTGCCATCTCAACATCTCATGTTCCTTAAAGATGGAACTTCTCTCAAAGAACAAACTAGACATTCATGATAGAGAGAGAGGAAAAAATGAAAAAAAATATTGTGGGAATTTGGAGACTTCACTTATTTGACAAAGCAGCTGATTGTGAACGATGAGCAGTGATTTCTAAGGAAGCTGGTGCCGACATTCATGTGGCCACCTAACCACAAAAGCAATTGCATACAGTATTCTTAATTAAGAGATATTTCCCTATTAAGTCCTTTTTGCTCATTGCACCTCTCCACTTGAATTTTGTTATTCTTAATTTGGGATCCACTGTTTTTACCCTTTATTATTTTCATTTTCAAGATTAGTTTGTGACTTTGATGGACCTCTACTTCAAATATACCCACAGGAGAGTGGATAATCTTATTTCAGCATTGCTTATTGTCCTCCCACTGGTTATCTAAATAATTCTAGTTCTTGTTTTGGTTTTTCTTCCTTAAGATCTTCCTCTTCGCTGAACATTTTATGCCGATTGTTCTATAAGAAAACTACAATAATTGTCACAACCATGAAGTTTGTGTTCCTTGAGAGAAGTATAAATCTTCTAGGGATGAAATGATTGGCTTCAACAGTCACGTTATTATGGGATTCATTTTATGTAGGGAATTATTTTGAAGAAGAGTATTATTTTGGCCATAACCTCATTTTGTGACACCCACTAGAGAATCTTCAACATACTGGGCATCCTTTTCTGATTAGCAATTTAGTGCCATTTGTTTGTTTTTTTCAAGTAGTTTAGTGCATTTATATGGACGTTTGCTAAGAAGTATGGATATGGACACGTGACACGATATAGATACGACACGGACATGCCGACACGTTAATTTTAAAAAAATGCAGCATATGACACGTGGGGAACATACATGAAATATATAATTTTATATATTTATTATATGTTACATATATGAATATATTATTCAAAGATCATAAAAAAGTGTAATATGACACCAATTCCTATAAATTTATGATTTTGTTTTATTATCGTATCTTAAGTTATTTTGTTCAAACTTATAATTAGTTTAACATATGTCTAATTGATAGAAAGGTGTGTTAAGCGATTGACACGTATGTCCTTCAAGTGTCCAAAGAGTATCTAGATCTTTAAAAAAAATTAAAAAATAGGATACGTTTGGAAGAGTGTCGGACATGTGTCCTAAGAGTGTCCAAAGAGTGTTGATGTCCGACACGGACACGAGACGAATATGTCACCTTCTTAGAAGTGTCCGTACTTCTTAGGACGTTTGTCTTAAAATGCGTTTTCTCAGTATGAAGATTTAGGACAACTATGTAATGACCCAAGAGCAAGGGCTGCTGTTCTCGCTGACATGGATGCTATCGGAAGTGAAGCTCAGGTAATTTCTGCAATCACCACTATTCAATTCTTTACTAAATTTCATTCAGTTCTTTAGTTTGTTTGACATTCTTATTCTATTACCATGCAGTTGAGAGGTTTTGAATTTGCAAAAGCCGTGACTTTGGTGCTCGAACCATTCACTGTGGAGAATGGTCTTCTCACTCCAACATTCAAGGTAAGCTTTTCTCTTAAAAAATCTCCTCAAATTAGCTCGGCTACTAGATCCTATGAAGCACGGACACGGACACGGATACGGACACGGACACGGACACGGATACGGACACGGGACACGGCAATTTCTAAAAAATGGGGACACGGACACGGCGGGGGACACGGCGAATTTTTTATTTATTTTTTAATTTTTATATATTATGTAGATTCATATTACATTCATCCTAAATCAAAATTAACAAACACTAACATAGTAACATTAATTCAATAAATATAAGAGAGGTAAAAGATTTAACATCCAATCATGGCGTGTCCCAAAATCGACACGCGTGTCCCTGCCGTGTCCCCGCTGTGTCCCCTTCCAAAAAAATCATTAAATTAAAGGGACACGCCAAATGGCGTGTCCCGTACGTGTCCCCGGCGTGTCCGCGTGTCGGACACTGCCACGGCACTGATTTTGAAGTGTCCATGCTTCATAGACTAGATCTTTCAATCACTTTTTGGTTGTCAAGACAGTGCGCTATACAAACAGAAACACTATATAAAAAATTAATGTGGCAAGTTTTGATTTTATCACTTTAAACCAAAATACTCGTCACGATGACTTGTATTTCCAAAAAATGCCATTGTCATATCATTCTTGTTAAGATTTCTGTAAGAGTATTTTTTTTTCCGAGTAATTGGAACCCTATTATGCTTCCTCATCAGTTTCCTAGGCATGGTATGAGAGTAAGAATTGGAAATGCAGTGTTCACTGTTTTGCTGCTTTTTATGTCTTTTCCAGGTCAAGAGGCCTCAAGCAAAGGAATACTTTGCCAAAGCAATTACAGACATGTACGCTGGGCTCTCCACGTCCGATCCAACGCCACCAAAAATGTCCTGAGAGGAATAATGCATATATATATATATATATGGAGGGCATAAAGAAAAGAAAAAAAATAAAGTTATCAACAAATTCTTGGATTTGTTAATTCCCATTTAACTAATGTCGTGTGCCAGGGTTCATGGGGATCTTGCTTCATTATGGTATAGAATTTCATTGCTTTGGTTGTAACATGTTCCAATAATTTATTTCATTTTATTCTATCCTCAAGTTTGGTCCACCTTTTTTCATTGGTTCCAAATTGTGCAGTGATGTAACACGATTTTATAGCAACTGATAATACTTTTTTCGAATCTGCTTTTCGAATATTGTAATAAGGATTCAGAAATTATCTCAGGCAAACCAGCAAAGCAAATTACCTCACCTACATCTCTAGTATGCGGTTTGTTTAGGTCCTAGGGTTTGATAGTATGAATGAAATGCTATGTATAAAGTATGATTTTCATAATAACTATACTAGGGAAAAAATCCATATTATATATACAAACAGCATGACACAGATCAAGCACCAGTATAGTTTTTTACTCGAATGTATTCTTATTCTTGGAGATATTGTTTTTACAACTCAAAGTCTCACTTTGTTAAAAGTGACCTTGATTTTACTTTTATTTTCTACAAGGTCATGGCCAGCCGTCCACGATTGTTTTTTTTCATTAATTTGATTTAAATTTAAGCATAAGGCTTGAATTTAGTGGGTGTTTGGGATGTTAGCTTAAGCTACCTCCTTTTTTGAAAATTATTTTTTATTTTTTTATTTTTTTGTGTTTAGTGATTTATTTATTTAAATTATGTCATTTTTTATTTTATTTTTTTGCCCGTCTTGTATAGATGAATTTAAAAATTTTGAAACAGTCAAAATAAGTAGGGATGACAATTTGAATCTGGCCCGATGGGGATGTGGCATCTTGACTCCGATTTGAGCGATTTTTTTTCCAAAAATACCGCCAACATGACGGGGATGGTATTTAAAAATCAGTCTCCAATCAGTTTTCGAGCCGGGGACGGGGATAAGTGTCCTGGCCTCACCTCCTTCCCAATTTGTCTCCGAAGTAAAATTACCATTTTACCCTGTTAATCATATTATTTAATTTTGATGATGTCTAAAATATATTAGTTAATATACATATTATTTGACACAAATTATTATCTTTTTAAAAAATATATATATTTGTTAAATATTATTTAAATGGGACGACTGCCTCTCCATCTTCTCTTGCTCGGTCTCTCTCTGTCTCTCTCTAAAACCCTCTTATCACCGCCGACTCCCTCCTTCCCCTGTCCTCTTCTCAACAGAGACGACCGCCTCTTATCTTCTCTCTCTCGATTTCTCTCTCTCTTTCTCTGATTGGAGTGAGGCAGCAGACGGAGGTAACAGATCTAGCGAATAAGTCAGAAACGATGGCGATCTAAACTTTGGATCTTCACTGATCGAGGCACTCCCTCATTATCGCAATTCAGCAACAAACCGCCAAGAAATTTGAGCAACTCATCGATTTGATAAAAAAGAAGCAGATCTATTGTCTATATATATGTGTGTGTGTGTGTGTATGTATAATGAACAAATTTTTCTGGTCCTCTAGGTTTCAATTTTTTTGGTCCCTCTGCTAGTTTGGTTGCTAAAAAAAATTTAGGAGAAAAAATTAGTGAAAAATAAAAAGGATAGAGAATCAAATTTATCTTGATTTCTTTTACATTCTCCCCAGTTTAGTTCATGGTAATAAATAAGAGAATCTGTTGAAGGAGAAGTTTGTTTCTTTTTCCCTGTCCCTTCTCATATCTCTGTGATATGCAAAATTCCAAAAAAAAAAATTCGGGGATTTTTCAAGGTTGGGGAAACCCAATTCCCGTTCAGGGGTAGGGGCAGTGGGCTGATGGATTTGCCGTCGAGGATTGGGGATGGGAATGGAAATGAAAAATTTTGTGCCTTCGAGGATCGGGGACGGGGAGTGTGATCCCCGGCCCCATCCTGCCACGCCCCGTTGCCATTCCTAAAAACAAGCAAAAAAAGTTATTTCAAGTTTATTTTTGTTTTTAATCTTTTGATTCATCCCGTCGAGTTGAATTTACAAGCGTAAGTTTTTTTTTTAATTTTTTTTAAAAATTTAGTAAAGATGAAAAAAAAAAGAAGTAAATTATGAACATTCACGTATGAATTATACTAATCTTTTTAGTAATTTTCAACAAATGTTTTTCAAAATTTCCCTTTTACCCAAAAATTCATTTTTCATCAAATTTAATGAAAAAGAAAATTATCTCTAATTTTTTATATTTTAATTTTTTAATTAAATTTAAATTTAATAAATTTTAAATTTGATGAAAATAATATTTCATTCTTGATTTGATGAATGAAAGGGGGTGAAGATGATTTTTAAGAAATCTTTTATTAAAAATAAATTTAGAGGTTAAGGATAGGAAATGCCTTAAGCAATCACTATTTTTTCTATATTTTATTCTTAAAACTGGGAAGCGCCAAGACAGGACTCGGGTCGAAAACGTTCGGTGCATCAAAACGAAGCGTTTTTGGAAGAATTACGTACAAAACAGTGTCGTTTTGTATGGGAGAGGTTGCATCTTTAAAAAAATAAAAAATTACTTAGTCGGACAGAAAAAATAAAATAAAAAAAATACACAAATATTATATGTTACAAGGGATAAATTACAAACACATCCTTTGAGATTTATTTAAATTATAAATTACTTTTTGTAATTTTAAAAATTAAATTATGCTCTTCAAGATTTCTAATTTTATAATAAATAGGTCATTTTATTAATAAATTATCAAATTAATTAATAATTTTTAATAATGTTAAAATTTTACTCCGCCGCAGAACCCACAGTCTTCATCTTCCGAAACCCACGTTTTCCGATCAAAGCTTCCCGACATACCCATCTCCAACCACCTACCCCTCCACACTTACTGCTTCCAAAATCTCTCTCAATTCCCAGACAGACCCTGTCTCCTCATCGGCTCCACCGGTAAATCCTACTCTTTCTCCGAAACCCACCTCGTTTCCCGCAAAGTCGCCTCCGGATTATCACTCCTCGGCATCAAAAAAGGCGATGTCATCATGCTTCTCCTCCAAAACTGCGCCGAATTCGTCTTCGCATTCATGGGTGCTTCGATGATCGGCGCAGTCACTACCACTGCCAATCCATTCTACACTTGGGCTGAAATTTTCAAGCAATTCAATGCTTCCAAATCCAAATTAATCATTACCCAATCTCAATATGTTGACAAACTCTGTGAATAGCAGATTGAATTTCGGCCAATTTGAATGGCGACGGCGTGCCTTGGTTGAATTCAATCTCATCTTCTTCCGTAGATGCAACTTTCAATGGAGCACTCACGTTGATAATCCACTTTCTCTCTCTATAAAAACTAGTTCGGGAAGAGATTGAATGATACTTGAGAACCCAGTTTTTCTCTCAATAAAACCTAATTGAGGAAGAAATTGAAGAACACTTCCATGGACACTTTCTGCAATTAGTGATCTAGAAGAGAACCAACTGTTATACTTTCAAGCACGGGGGGTTGGCTTAGAAATAGATAGAAAATCTCTCATTTTCTCGTTTGGTGTTGAAGTGACTGAGCTTTTGCCTTCCGCTTCTCTCCAAAAGAAAGTAGAAAGTCATATCAAAGAATTGATGAATCCCATAGTCAAGGGTTCTCGGTGAGAGGTGATGAAAGGGATACAACTTTGAATTTTTTGTTTTGTAAATTATCATTGGTTTACCAAAGAATCTATGCAAAATCAAGTTGAGATATTGAGGGAATTTTTGTGATATTGAAACCAAGTGGTGTTTTTTGCTCTCCCCACCTCAGCTCCTCTCCTAGAGCAAGAATAACTAAAATTTTTGAAGTAAATGAATTTGGATTTGAGGATTAGGATTTGGATTTGGATTTAGTGAGTGAATTTGGGTTTGAAAGAAGTTGGGTTGGAGAATTGAGTGTTTGTGGTGATGGTTGGTGGTGGTGGCAGCACTTGCAAGTGCGGAGATGGAAGAATTGGAGAAAAAGAAGAGAGGGTAAGCCTGGGTAGGAGATAATGTACAAATTTGGGGTCAAAATATAATTTTTTTGACTTTTTCTTTTTCAAATTTGACGGTAGGGGTAAAATTGATACGATTTCAAAAGTTTGAGAGTAAAATTGTCCAGGAAACCCCTTACTTTGTTTTGGTTATCTACCATTGGCATTGGAGATATTATGGAAACAAAGTGCCTCTCCTGGCTTGCCTCTATTTGTCTCCGTGGTTGGATCTTCATGTTTACTTCCTCTATCCACCATTCTGAGCTGATGAGGTGAAACACTTTTTTCTCTGGTGTGAGAAACAGCAGCACTCTGTGTTGATTCAATCTGTGGGACTCCACTGGGTAGTTCTCGCCCTCCTCTTCCTCCATGTTTATCTGGTGGATCTCTAACTTTGGATCTGGTAGTATCTTTCCTTGGCTGAGAGCTTATGGGGGGGTGGGAAGGGGTGATAACTAGAGAGTTGGTGGGGGTCTTAACTGGTGATTGATGTTGTGGGCTGTGTGTAGTGGTATCATCCTCAGGTAGGTACTCTGATTGATGTTCCCGTGTGCCTCCCTCATTAATCTCTTCCTTACCCTTGATTAAATCTTCTCTTTTCTTCTCTATAGCTGTGTCGAGCTGAGTGGCCCCCATATCCTTTTTGTCCGTGTGGCCTGGTGACTTTTCCTTATACTTAAAACCTAAAGTCTGGTGGCCTAGGCTCGTGGGTTCTTGTTCTTTTTCTTTTGCAAATTGGGCCTTCTGGTGATCCAGCGGCTCCTCGTCATCTTGCAGGCTTTGAAATCTATTTCCTTGTTGCTGCTTGCCTCCTCTTGGGTTCCTTAAGCTCTTAGCATTTCTCTTTTGGTTTGTGACCTTCATCCATGGCCCAAATTTGGTGCGGCTCGTCTCCCCCAAATCTTGCTTCTTGTTAGTAGTCAGCCCAGTGTCCAGCTCAGCTTCTTCCCTCAGCCTTTCTCCTCCGGCAGTAGAGTTCCATTGCTTGTTCACCTCCGGCGGTGTGCTTTCATTACAGGAATCGCTTCTGTGTCCTACCCTGCCACAAGAGAAACAAAATAGGTGTAAATGTTCATATTCCACCATATAAATGTACTTACCTATGGAGAGTTGGGAAATTAGAGGCTTTCGCAGATCCATCTCGACACACACTCTTGCATATTTTCCTCTTGATGCCATAGCTGTGTTAATATCGATCTGTCTGTAATGGAGAGATACTCATCTCTAGCATTTTCTATTCTATGAGACTTTTTCAGGAGTGATTTACATGGAAACGAATGTCATCCAGAGTTGTTGGAATAAGGTCATTTCAAATAAACGAGGGAGTTTTAAAAA